CAGGGACCTGGAAAGAAAGGCCTGGCGGTCTACTTCTGCACAGTTAGCCACACTCATCCCAGGGGAGTTCTTGCTTACCCTGCCCCACATGGGGTGCCCAGCGTCAGAGTCAGCCTCCCTGCTGCCAGTCTGATGAGTTAGCTACAAGTGTTCTACGCTGGGTCTGGCTTGCTGCTATTCTAACCAGAGATTTGTTCCTTAGACCAGAGGACTTCTTAGTGCCAGAACTTCAAGCTACCGAAGAAGAAAAAAGCAAATTAGAATCTGGCTTGACAAATGGAGATGAGCCCATGGATCAGGATTTATCCGATGTTCCTACTAAGTGTATTTCCATGACGGAGTCCATTGAAATAAAGTAAGCACTTTTGCTGCATTTGAGAATCATTGACAAGATAAAATTTAAGACACTTCAATTACATAAATTCACAATGTTTCAAAAGTGCAGTTTCTGAGTACCCTCTGGAGTATTTACGTACTTTAAAAAAAATTTTTTTTCGTGCAAAGACTTTTGAAATGTGATATTTTCTCTTCAGCAATAAATTTGAGCGTTAAGGACATTGAATTGGTGTGGGGCAGGGAATTCCCCCATCAAACTAAACTTGTGTGCATCTGGCCTTTGTCGTAAGTGTAGTGGCAGGTGAAAGAGAATAGTACATCTTACAGATTTACTTCTTTAGAGTGTTTGTTTCAGAAAGTGTAATCCTAGCCTAAGCACCTCAAGTAATACTGGTGTGATCTGAAGTTTCTGTGCCTGCCTCCTTAGCACAGTGAGTGATACTGGTACATGAGTTCTCCCTCGTGGCCCCTCCTCCTCCTGAAGGCTACAAAGACCTTTTGGAATCTTGTTTCTTTCAAGTCATCCAAAAACAGGGTGCTGTAATTTTCTGGCGATACATTTAATATATATTCTTGGGCATAGGTAAGATCTAAATAATGCTCTTAACACAATGATGTTTGTGTATTTATTCCTCAGATCTTCATTTTATGTATTGTACACATTTCTTTCCTATTGATAAAAGCTATAAAAAAAAAAGAAACCTGTTTCCAAATGGACGTCTTCTCATCAGTTCACCTGGATAATCATATCTCATTCCAGAGCCAGGGTTACTTACATAGACTATGAAGGCCGCTCCGATGGGGATTCCATCAAAAAAATCATTAATCAGATGAAACCTCGCCAGCTGATTATCGTCCATGGCCCCCCAGAGGCCAGTCAGGACCTCGCGGAGTGCTGCCGTGCCTTTGGTGGGAAGGACATTAAAGTGTACATGCCCAAGCTGCACGAGACAGTGGACGCCACGAGTGAAACGCACATCTACCAGGTCGGTAGCCTGCAGCGGAGCGGCCCACAAGTAGGTGTGGTTGCACAGAGGCAGAGCTGCCCGAGGGCTGCGTGGTGATTGAGGCCTGCCTGGCAGAGCTTAGCGCCGGGGTGGCTCGTGCGCACTGTTAGTAGACTTCGGAGCCGAGAGCATAAAGCAGGGGTGGGCAACATTTTTCTTCCAAGAGCCATTGGGACACTTGTAACATCGTTCTCGGCCCATACTGGTCCAACATTTAATGAACTCCTCTTTGTGATGGCGCCCATAGCTTCTCTGTGGTGAGACGTGTGGCGTTAGCTGGTGTGGAGGACTTTGTGGGCCTTGGGCCGAACATTCCCCACTGCTGGTCTAAAGGATGAAACGGTTTCCTGGCGGGTGTGGTTACTAACCTGAATCCCAACAGTGTGTGTATTTGCCAGGGTTGAGTGGGGTAGGAGTGTTCCAAGCATTTGCAAAAATGTAGAGGGAAGAGGAATGGGTCAGTAGGAGGGGGCTTAAAGAAAATTCCTAGGAAAATGGAGTTAAAAGGAAAATGGAATTTTTCCATGAACATTTTAAATCCCCCTCGTATTCAAGAGTTCAAAAGCGTAGTAAAAATCCCGATGGAAAGACTGTTACTTTAAATGGAAGAAGGCAGGAATCCCCAAACAGAGAAACGGGTGACTTCTTACCTGGCAGTAGGAGCTGGTGTTGGTGAAGGCGTCCCACGGGTGTGGAAACAGTTGCTCAGAGAAAACGAATGAGAATTCACCGGGCAGAAAAGTCATCCGGGCTTAGCAAGAGGGGCAGCAAGCAGCATTGCCAGAATCTGACCGTGTGCAGCAGCATGGCCTGTTGCAAAAGCTGAGGGATTCCGTGTCCCTGGACACACCAGGTACTAGAGGAGGAGACTCATCTGGAGAGCTGTCCCCTGTCCTCCACCCAGCAGCTTTCACAGACGGGCACTTGGGTGCCGTGGGATTCCAGTGCAGGGTCAGGGTTCAGAAGCTCAGCATAGACAGTAGACGGAGGGCAAATAGTTCTGAAAGGACAATGGGTGATGCCCAGTTTTGTCACCGTTTGTATTTCTCCTCGTCCTCCCCTCTGCCTGCCTAGGTGCGACTGAAAGACTCACTGGTCAGCTCCCTTCAGTTTTGTAAGGCCAAAGATGCCGAGCTAGCTTGGATTGATGGTGTCCTGGACATGAGAGTCTCCAAAGTGGACACAGGGGTTATTTTAGAAGAAGGCGAACTGAAGGATGATGGCGAAGATTCAGAAATGCAAGTGGACGCGACTTCAGACTCTAGCGTAATAGCACAGCAAAAGGCCATGAAAAGTCTGTTTGGGGACGACGAGAAAGAGACCGGTGAAGAAAGCGAGATCATTCCCACGCTGGAGCCCTTGCCGCCTCACGAGGTGAAGGAGCGCAGTCAGCGCAGCCCTGGCCTCTCGCCAGCCACTTCTCCTCCTCATTGTCCTCCTGTGTTGTCAGCTATTGCAAGTGGGATGCGTGTAGAATGATTTGGAGTTTTTTAGAAGTTTGATCAAACTGTTCCTGTGTTCGTGTTCGTGTTCGTGTGTGTGTGTGTTCTGTGTGACTAATGGTATAATACACACATTATAACAATTTATAGGAAACCTTTGGCCTCTTATGAGGAGCATGATTGTTTCCTGACTTGGGTTTTTATTACATATCTTTAAATATTTAGTTTGATGATTTCTGAGGCGGTCGTATTTGTATGACGTCTACTCCATTCCAACTACTTTGGGGTTTGACATCCTTCTAACTCTTTTATTAGATAGAAATGTAGTGCTGGTCCAGTGTGACCACGTTCTCGGGGATCTAATCAGCACAGACTTCAGCTGTCTTTCCTAAGCCCATGACAGTGTTGAACTTGATGGTGAGAGTCCTTCACCTGAGTCAGAGGATAGCCCCAGCCCTGCTGGAGTGAGTAATGGAGAGCCTCTGCCACTAGGGTCCTTCTGGCACTGTTCTTCTGAAATTGGGAGAAGGGACTAGATGGGTTCTTTTTTCGCTCTGAGCTTGTACCAGCACTCTCTCCAGAGCAATTTCAAAGACGGCATTAGGCTGAACCACATGCCTCTGATTCTCTGAGGGAGGTAGGACAGTGGAGATGGATCAGGAGAGAGCGGTCCTCTGAACGTAGTGAAGGAGTGGCATCTGGACTGCACACTCTTGGCACTGTCCTGCCCAACGGTTCTCTCGTGCGCCCCACCAGGCCAGTGGGTGCGTGAGAGCATAACGCAACCCAGCGGCTCCTGCTGTGCTTTTGAGCGCTGACTACTACAGTGGATTGTGGAGCCACCGGACACGCGAGGGGCTTTGTGATGTTAATGCCTCGCACACTCAGCGTGACAGCTCGGAATGTGCTGTCCACTGTTGAAGTGTGTCAGAAATGTCAGGGAGTAATAGGTGGTATCTCAGAGCTCCGGGTGGGTGCAGCCTACTCAGGTCAGCGATGTAGCTGCTGCTGTTGCTGCTGGTGTTTATTTGCTTTTCCTTTCCTCTTTGCCCTTCGAGAAGGTTCCTGGACATCAGTCGGTGTTTATGAATGAACCGAGGCTCTCGGACTTCAAGCAAGTTCTTTTACGAGAGGGGATTCAAGCTGAATTTGTTGGTGGGGTCCTGGTGTGCAACAATCAAGTGGCAGTCCGCAGGGTAAGGGTGTTTTCAATGAAGTTTCTGATGTCTGGCCATCTGGGACTCTGATTTTTGATTGGTAATTTTACAAAGCTGAGGATCAGTAAGTCAGCTACATTTGGATGACCTTGACAGTCTTAGAAGAGTGACTTCCAAAAAAATGCGATGTAATTTTATGGTCAATTTTTATTATTTGAAGTCACTGACATTTATGACTATGAAAAATTCATGTCTTGACTATTGTGTATCCATATTCTGTGAGTCAGAACAATGTATTCCCTGGCCAATCCTAAAATCGTTTATTATATTTTGGTTGCTATAGCTGCATATTAATGAATAGAAAATAAATTTATTTCCCTCCCCTTTGATTTCTAGACGGAAACGGGACGCATTGGATTAGAAGGCTGCCTTTGTCAAGATTTTTATAGGATAAGAGACCTTTTGTATGAACAGTATGCCATTGTATAAAGGTTGTGATGTCATAAAGTGTCTGTTTGACCTTTTGAAGAAAAAAGGGGGAGTCTTACTCTAAGGTTTTACTTTGTAACATACAAAAAGGACCGGCCAGAAAAACATGACGTCTAAGATTTTCAGTAATGTAAATAAGGTATCATTTTGCTAATGCTCAAAAGAGCATTTGTTCCTTTTAGCTTTCAGAGTGAGAGGTGTCCTCGTCCCAGAGCTGAAGATGCTGGGTCTCCTTTGCAGACCCTTCACTCGGAGAGGGACTGTTGCCTTGAAGAAAACAATGCAACTTAGCAAACCAGTTCATGGCCTTAGAGAAACGTGCTTGCAGGCGCCTTGCAGATGGTTTCCTATGTCTCCTGGGATGAGAAGCGAGACTGCTTCAGCAAAGAATTGCAACTAAAAGCCCAAACTGATAAAACAGTTTTTTTGAGATCCAGCTATTAAAACAAACAAACAAACAGATCCACGCTTGCACTGACTGTGCACAAATGTATATTTGAAATCTCACCTGTAACTGTTTCCACACAGACTGTGCCCCACCGTGCAGCTAGCATGAAGGAGGAGTGCACGTTTGGTTCAGAAACCAATTTTTATTTCTCCCATTTCTTGTTCTCAAGGCTTTTGTTGCCAATCTGGATTAGAACAGCATCAACTGAGTATATATAATTTGTCAGATTTTTCTGGAAAGTCTTTAAGTGTGTGGCATATGCTTTAGATGTATCTGAATTGTCAGCTAGGCATTGGAAACTCTGTTGTACTGTTTTAAGAAACGCTGCTTTAAGAAAGCAAAGGTTGACCCTCACACACTATAAGGACGCGGTCATTCTACATGCACTGATGTCTTTCTCATGCCCCGAAGCCCAGATGGTAGTACTCGTGTAAACCACCTGTGTTCAGAAATAAAAAGGCAGATGTTTGCCATTTACACTGAACTTATGTAATGAAAGCCATGTTGCCCTATTGCAATCTCTTACTGCTTTTAAAAGCAGCGGCTTACTCATGGCAGACCCTGTTGTCTGTTTCTTAAATATATAAACCCTCCTCTGTATATTAGCATTCAGGAGAATCAGTGTTTTCATTTAACTTACAATGGAACAATGGAGAGTAGTACAACTCAGTGATGGTTAATATTTCATTCTTTTTCACATTCTTAAAAAGTCACTATTGCAGATGATAGTACGAATGATACCGAGAGCCAGATTTATAAAACAATGCAACAGAAGATGTGTATTCAGAATACATTCCCTTTTCAGAGCCTTGGAATTCTCTCTCTCTTCCCATTTAAACTCACTAGTGTAGCGAGAAAGCCTAGAATCCTGTTTATATTCCAGGGGAAAGAAAACTTGCAGTGGTTGATGGTTTAAGGCTTCTAGTTAGACAATGAAATGCTGTGACTGAAGATTTGTTCCCCTGGCCTTTGTACTGTAGTCTGATGAACTGGAATTGAATTTGAATGGGACAGTTTACAGATGGCTGTGCTAACAAATGTCATTTCAAGAGCAATACTGTTAACTGTTTCTAGATGGCAGCATTACTAACATTTTGAAAATGAAGGTATTTGTGTGAGTCCCCGTGAGCTATCAAAAATGCTTCCAAAAGGACTGTGTGCTAAATCATGAGCTTAGAGGAGCTTTCAGATCTTTATTGTTTAAAAGTAAGAATAAATACAAATGGACCACCCATCAGCTGATATCTATAATTCATGTGGTTAAAACTAAGGTTTTTTGGGGGGTGGTATTTGTTGCAGTGCATGAGAAATGTCAAGTCTCAGTGCAAAGAAGATCCCTGTTTTCATGAACCAGTAGGTGGCTGGAACAAGGAGATTTCAATTTCCTAAGGAGAACCATTCCCTAAATTTTGAAAATTTGAGATATAATTCACAGACTATCAAACTTTTTCCTTTCAAAATGTAGAATCAAGGAGTTGTTCCCATCTTTACAGATGTGCAGCCATCAGTACACGCATCACCATTATGGACTTCTACACCATTCTACCAGCCCCAAGCCTGTCTTCATTCCCAGTTCCTCCCCACAGCCAAGCGTCTGTCGAGAGTTAGAAAGAGGACCACACAACGTGTGGCTTTTTGTGTCTTGCTTCTCCCACTCCGCAGAAGCTCTCAAGGCGCATCCATGGCGCAGCGTGAGTCCGTTCATCCTCTTTATGACCGGACGGCATTCTGCTGTGTGTGTCAACGCTTGTGTTCGTCCTATTGATGCTTCTTTCTACTTTGTGCTCCGAACAATCTGCCATGAGCGTTCATGTGAACGCATACGTTTTCAGTTCTCCGAGGTCTTCGTGTGTGTGTGCGCTTATGTATCGATCGATAGATGGGCAGACATCACTTTTAAACTATTTGAAAGTCAGTTGTCGTTATTAGGCCCGAGCCTAATTTTAAACAGCCATCACCGTCAGGAAGTCAACATTGATAAGATTCTACCACTGAAGCCATCAACCCCATTTAAATGTCACCAGCCACTCCAAAAACAGCCTTTGGGAGCCAAGATCCAGTCCAGACTCTTGCATGTGTTCAGTTAGCAAGTTTTCCCTCAAAGTCTTCCTCAATCTGCAGCATTTCTCAAGTTTTTCTTTGTCTTTTTGTGAAAAATATTGACATATCATTCATTCACCATATAATTCAATGGCTTGAACATATGAAAAAGAGTTGTGCAATCATAATTTTAGAACATCTTTTTCATGTTTGTATTCATTATTAATAGCCCCCCACTTCCCGCCCACTGCCCCTGCCTTAACCCTGAGCAACTGTTCACCTAATCTATAGTCGCTGGGTAGATTTACCTATCTTGGATTTTATATAAAGAAATCAACAACAAACAGGAAAGCCTCAATCCACAGGCCAGCAGGAAACACTAGAAACCAGCAAAGGGGAAACATGGTGTTAGAATTTAACCTAGTGCACCTGTATTTATTCACTTTCCAATGCCTTGTGTCTTAGGGCAAGGCTATTCACATCTCTGTTCCATGGCTTGAGAATTCAATGGAAGCTTAATCTCTGTGATGTCTCTGCAAATGGATTTTGGACTTTCACAGTCACCCGTAGCTTTCGGCAAACCACGTGCTCAGAACTTGAGAGCTCTAATACAGTTCCCTCCTCTTAACTTGTATTTTATTATTTACAATCCTTGGGTCACAGAGGCTGATAGGCTTCCCCTTAGATTCCTTGTCCTTTTTGACCTTGACATTTTTGAAATGTGCAAACCAGTTGCTTTGTAGAATGACTTTCATTTTCTGGTTGCTGGTTCCTCAGAACTAGGTTCAGGTTATTCGTTTAGAGCAGGGTGCTAGAGAAGGGAGTGTTGCTCTCCTCTTTGCATTATTTCAGGAGGCACATGGTGCCAGTCTGCCTCATTACAGGTGACACTAACTTTTCATACTTGGCATATGAGGTTTCTTTACCATGAAATTAAGTATTTTATACTTACTAAGGATTAATAAATGTTTTGCAGGGAGTTACTGTGAGACTATCAACATCCTGTGTTTTATCATTTTCATTTACTATGTTTAATGCCTTCTGATGATTCTTGAGTGAATCAGTTATTGTGAAATGGTGATTTTCTAGTTCTTTCATTGTTCTACATTTGTTAATTGACTACCACAATGGCCACTAGCCAGGTGGGGAGCCTTTCCTGTTGGGTGGGGCCCACATCTGAAAAGAGCGTGGGAATTTACAATTAGGCCTTCTTGGGGGCCCTGTGTGGCTCAAAGATATCAAGGCAGCACTTGAAAACTAGGTCACACAATACATCATTCATTGATTATTGATATCAGTATGGAATATTTATATTTTGATGCTCCCGTTTCCTATTTAGCTCGTGGGAGGTCCCTTCAAGCCAGTTCCTGTATTCTTTAGCTGTGTCCCATGTCTCGAAGCACTTTCTTCTGGCCCCACAAGATGCTTTAGTTTTATATTTTCTCTCCTGCAGTCCTGGAATCAGCCATTTGCCCAAGGAGTTCTGGTTCACCCTAGTGGAATTTATAAACCAAGAGCTGAGTTCTGCGCTGTGCTATCATATATCCATGTTGCTCTGTAGTAAGAAACGATCCCATAAGGCCAGATTCGTAGCCAGCAAGTCATTGCCTACTCACAGTCATCCGGTAAGACGGTATAACTGCCCTGTGCGTTTCTGAGACTCTAGCTCATTACAGGAGTCCAAAGCCGGGGGTCCTCAAACTTTTTAAACGGGGCCTGTTCACTGTCCCTCAGACCGTTGGAGGGCCGGACTATAGTTTTTTTTAAAAAACTGAACAAATTCCTATGCACACTGCATATACCTTATTTTGAAGTTAAAAAAAAAAAAAAACAACACGGCAAAAACACCCGGCGGGCTGTAGTTTGAGGACCCCTGGTCCAAAGCATCATATCCCTTTCTTTGCTCGGGACACAAGCTCCTAACCATGGAGATGACTCCTGGGCTCCAACACCCCTCCCTGCTTGTGTTGGCGATGGCGGCAGGGACAGTTTCCTTCCTTTCTCAGTCATGGCAGCACGTGCCCGTTAACTGCACAATGGGTGATTTTTCTAAGGCACCTGTGTTCGTCTGGGTACATTAGAGAAATAAATCCACAGAAACTCATGTATAGGAGAGTTTTCTATAAAGGTTAAGTGTGCATCACGAAAACATCCCAACCCAGTGCTGCCCAAGCCCACAAATCCAACATTAGCCCATATGTCCAACACTAATCCACAAAGTCCTCCTCCATCTCACTAAACAGATGCAATGATGCCATCTGCAGGAGGAAAGCTGAGTCAGTGAATGTGTAAGCATCTCAGCGCTGGCAGGGGTGTCCTCAGGGCTGCTCCAACACCCAGGGCTGCATCGGGGTAGGCCCATGTGGCTTCTCTGGGATGTCTTGCAGGAAGTGAGCCTTGCCAGCTGAAGCAGGGAACTGCTAAGGCAGCTGCACCCTGGGCCGACCATCAAAAAGCAAGAGACCCAAGAACTAGAAAGGTGAGGCTCACGGAGCCATTTATCCCTCCGCCCTTCAATTAACTCCCCTTGTGTTTATCGGCCAGGTTGGCACAATAAACTAGCTCAGCGCCTTTGGTTCAACTGGCAGTGCCAAAACGGGTTCCAGTTTACGTGGTGGTCTCAGTGGTGAAATAGGTGCAGATTCCACACATTTTTTGGTCACGTGAGGCAGCTTCGGGGTTCCAGTGCAGAGGACCCCCGAAGGAACAACCCAGGTCCCTCAACATCCAAGACCTGGGGGGGAGTCCAGCTTGTCCTCTGCATGGCTTGCAAGATGGACACCTTGACTTCAGACTTACCCAGATTTGAAGTGCAGAAGAGGACTTGACCATCAAGATGACGGGCTGTTATCACAGTGGAAGCATGGGTGCCAGGAGACAACCAGCTAAGCATGCCGGCCGGAGTCCGGGCTTCACATGCCAAGTCCACTTCCTAAATGTACGGCTTGGGCCAGTTCCTTCATGTTACAGCATCAGCTATAAGGGACTAGCAAGCGTACCACTTCCTTGGCTCGCATGATCGTTCTGTGTCCTCAACCAGGTAAAGCCGAGTGGTGCCTCGTAACACTTCCTCACAGCTCTAAGTGCGTCACAGTGGTGGCCTCATGCATTCTTCAGCACTGCCTGTGGGCTGCCCACCACCCCTGTTTCTACAAGTAGCGAAACAGGCTTATTAAAGTCATAGCTGATCAGCGGTGAACGCGGGGCTCTTCCCAGGCCACATCATTGACCAAAAGCCCACCCACCCCCACGCTGTCCCAGGGACACTCACACAAGTTTCCTCTATCGCACGAGAATTCACACCATCCAGCCTAATGTCGGCCCAAGACATGTTTGCCTTTAGACACTTTCTAAGACAATTTAAATGCACTTCCTGGTTGTAGGTAACATCAGGCTAGGGCATCTTCTCTTGTCCCGTTCAAACTTGGTCGCATGAGAATGTATTTATCCAAGAACCTTCATGTGGATTCCCCAAAGGCGTTTGGAATGATGTGTCAGAACATCGCAGTGGGCAATGCAATATTTGAATGAGTGTTAATTTACCTTTCTACTGGATCTCTGGATTCTGGCATCCATTGTGATGTGACTACACAGAACTCACAACATTCGTGGTGAAGAGGGTCTATGAAGGAAGGTCGAAAGTTGTGATGCCAGTGAGAAATGCTCACATAGCAGTGCATCAGGCCGTATCATGATCCTGCTAATAAGTGCCCAAAGGGCATAGCACTTAAAAGCCTCAACCTGAAGGCATTCAGCTCAAGCTCAGGGGCCAGTAACCCCAGCTCCCTGAATTACGTGCCCAGAGGTATTCCACTCCAGGAAGCCTCAGCCCAAAGGCACTCAGCTCCACTTCCATGGGTCAGCAAGTCCAGCGTCTCCAATTGCATGCCCAGAGGCGCACCACTCCGTAAGCCGGCCTCCTGCACAGAAGCACACAGCTGTACTTGCTCTGTGGGTTGGGAAGCCCATCACTAGTCCATGCGCTGGCTCCTGGTTCAACTGCTGCTGCTTCTCTGATGGCATTCCTGTCATCTGGACCCAGGAACTTCACGGCTCAGGATTCTCTCCAGAGGACATGCTCCACTCCTTATCCTGCTGGTAATGAGATCCCTCCCCCTGCTTCTCAGCAGGCTCATTGTCTACACAGCAGGATGACACTCCAGGGAATCCTGTTTGCAATGACTCACAGATGAG